TGGAGTGAGTCGGTATCAGTGTGATAGTGCAAAGCGACAAGTTAACACCCCACCATCCTGAACTGATTAAAAATTTACGCAAATACAAACGTCTTAAAAATAGCCAGGAAGTTATTACTTTAGGTTTAACTAGTATAGTACGTAGTTTAGTTTTTAATATTTGGGGTAAATTGCGGGTATACTAAATATCTCATTATTACGGTTTTTAATGTACTGTTTAACGTCTGTAAACACTCTTAATAAAAAAAAACAGCTGAGGAGAGAGGGCAGAGCAGAAGCCAAAAAAAAATGCTGAACTTTTGCCTTCAATAGGACCCAAGTCACAGTATCATATGACACGATGCCTAAGAAAGGTCCGTGTTACATGAAACCAATTGAAACCCCTAGTTTTGACTTCTTCTACAAAAAATCTACTCCATACATAAAACTATATCAGCCAGCCTCCACTCCACCTGCACAAATTGTTCTGGTCTGCAAATTATTCACTATACCTGAAAATCATCTGATGGAAACACAACTTTTCCGCAGCTGTTTCAGTGTCCATGTCTGTAAGACCAAGAGGAACATAAAACGGGGCATAAGCCTAACAACCTCTGACTGAAATTACTAGAAAGTCATTCTACACACTGTTGAGATATTAGAAAAAGTTCATACATCTAGCTTAAAAATCCCTTGTTGATTATAGCAAAGAGGTAGGAAGGAGTTCCATGACAATGTTGGAACAAACCAGCATCCAATATATGTCTACCCGGTTCTGTCCAACAGGGGGATTATATAAATTATTGCAAAGTCTAATAACAAAAGGGGGGAAAAGGGGAAGTCAACAGAAGTTCTAAACAGAACACGTATAAGCAATAATAAAACAAAAAGCGCCTAGGCCATGGGTAATTCATATAACCTGATCGGGAGACTGAACATTAAAAATTCAGCCTATTCTCAATGGGTGTAAATAGAAAATAGAAGAAGAAAACAAAAAACCAACAACACCTACATTGTCTAAGGCGTAGACGTACTTCCCACTGGCAATGTTGATTTTAAAAAAATCTTAACTTTCCAGAATAAGATGTTTGTATCGTTTGCAATTATTAATCCTTCTTTAAAATAAAACAAGATGAATCAATAAAATTGCCTTTGTGGTTGAGACATTACTCTACATGGAAATATCTATCAACACAATTACAATAAGCCAACATTCACCAAAAATGACGGGAAAATCCCAAACACTCAACCTGTCTTTCTTCGTCCTCACCTTCCTCTAGGAACTCAAAACAACTGCCAGCTCCCGTTATCGAAATGATACAGTTTACCCCACTTCCTGTTTCCCCCCACTTTGGGAATTTTTTTCTTTATTTTAGAGCTCTCCTTCGCCAAGATTGCGCGGGACTGGCGTTTTTCTAGGCCCAGCCTTTTTTATGGTCTATCTCCACCATAGTAATCCAACCACTACGTACTCTTGACTCACTCTTGAGGTCTCAGCGGTGGAACTGACTACCTGTCCCAATGGAAAAGGTAAAGTGGCATGGCAATTTGTTTTGGTATGAAAGGCAAAGAGCAAGAAAGCAAAGAGAAAAAAAAAGAAAGAAAGAGCGTGAATCAGGATTTCACACTAAATTAAGAAATGCTAATCTGCTTATTCAGATACACCACAATAGTATTTAGAACAACACTATAAGATAATCAAATGTTGATTGAGACCTTTGCCATATCATTTTTTTTTTGTTCTTATTTCTCAGTTTGATTCTATTCATTCAAATCCTCAAAGAATATTATTTATTAAACAAACAAAGGCCACCTTTGACACGTATACAACCACAACTAAATGAACATCCATGAATGGTTAGCTTTTACAAAAGCCAACGACACATTATAGTCTTTAAGAAATACAATCAATTCCTCACGCGTTGAATATTCACAGTGACAAGCTAATAATACACCAGATTGAAAACATATTACTGACACAAGAGACCCCTAGACGAGCCCCTTACCTCTCCACCTCCCCTGTAAGAGTCTGTCCACCCGATAATTTCCTCCAGATCACTAAGCCGCTTCCCCTCATTTTGGGCGCTTCCTATATCTTGCCCTTGCTATCTCTTCAAATTTTCTTCCTCCTTCCTCACCTACTTCTCTTTCTTTTCTTGTTCTTTTTCCTCTTTTGGTGACCATGCGACTCGGATCCCTGGTGAATTCTCTCGATTTACTGAAATCGATGGCCGAATCGTCCAAAAATATATTAATGCAATAAAATCTTTCTATATATATAAAGGTAAATTCAAAATATGCTGACATAAATAAGAGCATAACGGAGAAGCGCCCTAAACCCTAAAAACTCCACAAATACTATATGATGCACCTATCTGTGGGAAAAAACATGTGACTGTTTGGTTTCAAACCCATTAATAGGCAGCACCCCTAATAAAGGCTCGGTCTGTACCTCTAAACACTGAACTGTACAAATATTACTAAAATAATGAATGCCCTTTGTACGCCTAATCTCTCTGGGTTCTAAAAACCCACACAAAAGTCCTCAACTCTGCAACTTCCAGTGTAAGTCTGTACGAAAGTTCATAATTAAAATACTGTTCTGGCATTGACAGGATTAATGCGGAGCCACATGGAATTTATAGTGAGAGTGCACTGCCAATGACACACCATTCCACTCAGTCCATTTAGCCATGACATTACTCATGGACATATAGGCTCTATTAAAAAAAAAAAAAAAAAAAATCCACACTCAGTTTCATGCCTGAAAATTCCCCATTTTCAATATATCTGAAGCCAAGCGTGCGAGCTTCAAAAATTTGAATTTCACCTTCCTTGCTGCAATTGAAACTCAGACAACTGAATAAAAAAATTTTTTTAAAAACTGAATTAATAATAACTTTAAAAAATCAAGCCAATGTGCAACTTACCGCTGCTAATTTCTTCTCTAGCGCATCTGCTTCCTCATCTGTGAGCTCCTTAATCTTTGGCTGATTAGCTGCTTCCTTCTCCTCCATCTCCTTCTTCTTTCGTCTCTCTTCTTTCCTTCTCTCCTGTTCCTCTCTTTCTGCTTTCTTTTTCTCATCTTCTGCATATGCAACTTTCTGGTATTTCTTAAATTTTTCTAATACCATCTGCAAGAAAGTTGTTAATTAATAAACCTATTTTCTTTAATACAATCATAATATTCATTACAAATGCACTCAAAAATTACCCTCATGGATTATATAATTATACAAACATTCTTTACTGGTTTATCATATAATATAATAAAAGCTCCCAGATCTCGTAACAAAGCTAAAAGAAACGTCATACAGATGTCACACAATCTATAACAAATGGGCAGTTTACAAAAGTCTCATCCTGTAAACATACTTCTTTTATCTTTCTTATGCTAAAAAAGTAAATAGATACATCAGCCACATCCAAGTCAGAATTTAAATATACATCTATCAATCCTGAGCTTACTTCTAGCTCTATCAGAAAAATTCTAGAACTCAAAATAACTGCTAACAATTCATTCAAAAGTGACGACCATCCAGACTCATTCATTATTCTACAAGAGACAGTAGAAGAGGAAAACGACCAGCTCATTACTTACTTTTTCCCCGACTTCTGGTGGTGCCCCTGTGTAAAAATCTGTTTTCCGAGCCAGGAAGCTGAAGAAGGTGTCTAAGAGCTGAAAATAAAGGGAAATTTTTAGTTTGCTGATCTCTAAAATCAAACCAACAAATAACAAATAAAATAAAGCATCAACATCATTTTTGATTGATAATAAGTCATCATTTTCAAAAAATCCTCTATTTTCAGTCCACACTGACATTGTCATACTAAATAGCAAATTTTTTTGTTTTTGTTACTAACCCTCTATCACAATAATGCATTCATCAAAACTGATATGCAAACTGAAATCAAATACTTTGATATTTATAGTACATGTCAATATTTCTAGCTTGTATCACATTTTTTTGTTTATTATCTTATCATTCATTGTTATATAATTGTTAGTATTATTTTATAAGATTATTTATCTATTACATTCATTATTACTCAATTATTATTATATCATTAATTATTGAGCTATTTATTATTTATTTATTTATATATATATAACTTACATTATTATCCTATTTTATTTAATTATCCCATTATCTATTTATCCACATTGCATCAATCTATGATTTGATCTTGATGACAACTGACCAAAAGCTGAAGTGCGAACGATTTCCATCGTTCATGGAGGTTGCATGGCACATGTCCTGCGCTTAAGCCATTGAGATTCTAATCTAACCCAATCCAGACGTTTTCTACTCTAGAAGAGGAAAGAGAGAACAGCGAAAGAGAAGGACAAACCGACGGCAACCCCGCTAAACACCCCAACACAACATACCACTGCACCACAACCACCACCACAACAACACCCACAACGACCACCAAGACCTACCACATCACACCAACCCCACGCACACCACGCCTGAACACACCGATCAAACACCGACACCAAACCACAGCACACGCCAACAGCCCCACACACCCAGCCAGCCACGTAGAACACAAGCAGCAATCTCCGAGAGAAGACCGCACCCACACGCCCACCGCAACACACGAAGAGACACACTGAATCAACCCGACCGCCACATCCTACCAGACCCGCCGTCACCCACAACCCACACCCACCACCCAACACCACCCTACACACGAACCACCGCACTCAACAACACACAACCAACACACACACCTACAAAACCCAACCACCCAACCACACCAAACACGCACCGCCACTCTGTACAGAACGATAGAGAGAGAGAGGGAGATACGAGAGACAGAGAGACACGTGGAGAGAACGAGGAGACGTGAACGAAGAGAAGAAAGACGAGCGCAGACAAAGGAACGAGACAAGAAGACGGAGACAACCCCGCGCGACGAGAGAGACGCGAGATCGAGACCGCAGCTCAGAGAGAGAGAGCAAGACGAGAGAGACGAGAGACGAGAGAGAGCAGAGAGAGATTGACAGACCGAAGAGGAGATTCTGACGAGAGGAGACAGTATTGAAGAAGTCAGAGGAGACGCAGAGAGAGACGGAGCGAGAGACGAGCGAGAGAGAGAGAAGAGACGAGAGAGAGAGAGAGAGAGAGAGAGAGAGAGAGAGAGAGAGAGAGAGAGAGAGAGAGAGAGAGAGAGAGAGAGAGAGAGAGAGAGATTGAGAGAGAGACTGAGAGAGAGAGAGAGAGAGAGAGAGAGAGAGAGAGAGAGAGAGAGAGAGAGAGAGAGAGAGAGAGAGAGAGAGAGAGAGAGAGAGAGAGAGAGAGAGAGAGAGAGAGAGAGATTTATATTAAAATGAAGATGTATGCTATACATGTTTGAATAGCTTAAGGTAATGACAGAATACAAAGGGATGGGGAAAGTGGGGGGTAGGTTTGGGGGTGTGGCTGGAAGAGACTTGCCAAACAACATGGGGGAAAACGTATATTTCACGCGCTTCTAATCTTTCACACAAGCAGCCTACTGCCTGATACATGGCTGGGTATACCGTGGGAAAACCTGTTGTCATTGGGTTAAAAGAATGAAGTGTTGAAGGATCTGCTCAGTGAGACAATGGGGTGGCCTTTGTACAAATAAACATACTCATTCAAGTGATATCAGACTTTTCACATTAAAGAACACACAAAATAACACATTTCACTATACTAACCTATCTGCAGAAAAATTGAAGTTAAGAAAATAATTGTTTATCAAAGAAACACCACACTGACAAAAAAGTCCTAGCCATAGCCTCTATGACTTCATATATGTGATGAAAAACAACAAACCTAAACATTTAAAATTCGGGCAAGATGGGCTCTCCTGGTGGTTCGCTATCAAATAGGGAACCTGATCATGTCCTGTCTTGCTAAAACTATGCAGTAAAGATTTGTCTGCCTTAGCTAGAGCACCACAGGAAACACAGGACATTATCTCAAGTAGATATATCCTAAGATCAAGAATTACTTGAATATGGACCCAATATAATCCCGGTCATCCCAAGGGTTTATTCACATCTGCTGGAGCACGAAACATTAAATCAAAGTCACTGCTTCAGGTAGTCTTAGTCCTACAAATTCACTTTTCCTTATATATACAATTAAATCAATTTCAATCTACCTGTTTTATAATGTCACATTGAAGATGTCAGTCCAATAATTACATTTGAGTTTCAGTGATTTTTTTAATGTCCTTGTTTTAAGTATTATTTTAGAGTGAACAGAAACTCATTTACATAAAACCTGTTATAAACATTGCTCCTAAACGTTCCTTCACCTCAATATTTTTTAGAAAAAATCTGACTGTATATTATGCAGTATATGATATGAAAAGAAAATTGAAATCTACCTATACATGCAAAAAATAAATGTAAAAATACATACATACACACTATGAACAAACAGACTAAAAGTACAAAGTTAAAATGAAACCCAGACACAATAAGATTGGAATAATAAAACACATTTAGATTCAAATTACTACTTCCACACAGCCGGTATCTCACTGCACATACAACATTTATATCAGGTTAATAGGTTAATAACAGGAAAATATGCAAAACTTATAGGCCTATGAACTGTGCTAAACGTAAATAAAATGTCAATAACAGATAAACAAAGATAAAAGAATATAAATGAAATACATTATGTGAGCAAACCATGTGTAAAATACTTATAAACAAAATAAAAATAACATAAAATAAAAATAAAACAAAAGCTGACAAGTGACATGTCAAAAATCTTCGACAAATTCTAGAAGTTACTTATACCTCGAACAAAAGGCTTTAAATAAGACACTACAACTTACCTCAATAATGCCATCGGGATGCTGCTGAGCCAGGGCCAGCAAGATCCCATCGAACTTTTCCTCAGATTCGACCATAATTAGAGAAAATACGAGGTAAATGAGAAGAGGCGGGCGGGTTGTGTGTGTCTCCCGATGTAAACAAACAGTGACTGCCTCTCCACGTGACTGGGTGCTGCTTTCTTTCCTATTTCTCCCATTTATCCTCTTTTCATGGTATTTTTTGTCCTTTGGTCTCGTTCTTTGTCATATTCCGGTTTGTTTCGGACGTGGCAAAGTAAGATAAGGATTTATTTTTTACATCTTGCGGGTATTCTTGGAAATGCGCAAGGCGATTCTCATTTCCTTCTAGATTGTGGTAGATTGTTCTTTTGTGAAAAAAATGATGTAAGTCAGTTTTCTTTCCTCCAAAATACAAACATCATATATCTAGATCAAATGCACACGAAACGCTCTCAATAAACATCAAAACAGGAGGAAAATAGAACTGTTTACAAGAAAAGTTTACGTTGCTATGGATGCGTTGCCATGGTAACGATCCAAGGAGAACTGTAATTGTAATTATTGTAATTATCGGGATGTGTGACGTCATCATTTTGATCGATGATACAGTTGATTTCCGATAATGATGGGAAATAATTTTTACTGAGGATAACTATATACACAGTGGTGATCTGTGCCAGTTATCAATTCTATTAATATCATTTAATGCCCAAGTGCATGACTATTTTGGAAACCTGAAATTATCGGAGAGAAAGAAAGGGAGAAAGAGAGAGAGAGAGTGGGGGGGGGGGGTTAGACAGACAAATATATAAATGAATAGACAAATAGATAGATGGTTAAATGAGCATCGGGGTAGATAGATGGATAGATAGATAGAGAGGGAGAGATAAGAAAATTGTTACAGTTTTATACGAGTTTAGAACGGTGTTCATGGATTTGCCAATCTAAGCAGAAATAATCAAAATAAAACAGTACAACATATAAAACCTATCTCTTACCATTTTAACCCCTTTCAATTTATCTTTAGTCTGTTACATTTTACACAGGCGTAGGAAAAAGGGAGCAGGGGGGGAGGCGACTATCCCCACTCTTGAATGGAGGGGGGGGGCGGGACCCAAATTCTGCCCCCCCCCCCCCTCCTCAATTTGAGGACTTCTCTGTAATCAAACAAACAGTGCAATTCCTTAGTTACCCAATTGTAGAGAACGCTGGCCCCCTGCAATTGAGAGGGGAACTACAACAGACTCTTGTGTTCAAAGTGAAATAACTATTATATCAAGTATTAAATAAACAAAAATGTCTGAAATTTGGGTGCTGAACTTCCTGAGCTTATCTCTTTAAAACTGCTAAAATCCAGGAGCACCCCCTGATTCCACAGCCTGAGGACTCCCGGCTATTTTTTTTTTTTTTTTTTTTTTTTGGTTTTACTTTGCTCCCACTTCAAAATGCTTCCTACGCCTGTGCTTTACTCGTCTCTCATATTCTAAAACTTAATACAGTATTTTGTGTATAGATAAGTGTTCTAATCTCGATTTTTAATCATGTACACAGTCTTGCAATTAGCAATGCATAAATTGTGTTGCTAATGGTGGATAGCAACATATCCAATAACTTAGGGGCATTATAGTGTTTAATAGGTAAAGAATTAAAAACAGTAAATTGAGAAAGTTTAAACTGAAAATACCATAATAAATAATGGCTAATTTGCAGAAAAAAGACAAATAAATTACCGCATGCAAATAGGAAGGTGAAAATACGATACATAAGTACAAGTAAATTAATGAACAGATAATAAATACGTCTATGTATATTTGTATACACTAATATGTGTGTATACGACTTTTAAACCACTGAGTATTTATAATAACGGTTGAAAGGTTAAAAACTCTTTAGCTTATAAACTTCCTGAGATCCTAGCTAGAAATCTACATTCGATGTCCTCAGTCACTAAAATCGTACTGACAGATGCCCAAGAACTTTAATGGTTAAAAGATGTTTCTTATGACATTACACAATATCATGGACATATATCGACCAAATTGATAACATGAGGAAGGCGTCTAACGAGCAGTTTGCGTGTTATCAAAGGTATTATTTCCTGAACCACAGCAAGTAAATTATTCAGTTGTTAAGAATGTGTGTTTTCAGTTCATTTTTACTGTTTTCCTTTATTTACAAACTCACATGTGAGATATTGTTCGTTACGTTTGATTTGCATGAATTATTACTTATGCAGATTACTCAACATTTATGATTGTTCAATTAATGGCTAGGAGTTTGCTGTATTTTGAGTGATTCGCTGTGTATAATTAATATCAGGAATCTTCCACGTGAGAATGAAACCTTCAGACCTTTCTTAGAAAAGCGGAAACACACACACACACACACACACACACACACACACACACACACACCACACACACACACACACACACACACACACACACACACACACACACACACACACACACACACACACACACACACACACGCAAGCACATACACACACACACACAACACCACACACACACACACATTCGTTCCTACCCACTTTGAATATTCAAATAGATATTGTTTTTTTTTTTCTTAAAGTGTGGCTGATAAAGAGATTTGGCCTACATCAAATCAACATTCCAAATGTAATGTTTCTATCCAATTATATAATTACAAAGAGACGCCACCTTTAAAAAACAATAGGCAAATCATAGAACAGTGTTGTCCAAACTGGGGTCCACGTTCTCCTGGGGGTACGCAACATAGATCATAAGGGTACGTGATCACACACACACACACACACACACACACACACACACACACACAGAAACATCACATGTTTATGAATCATCTTTTTTATTCGTGTATTAATTCGAATTTATTGACAATATTCCTGTAATGCAGTCTTTTCATTATATTATTATTTTGCATTATCCTGAATAAACAGCTTGTTTTGCATGGTGGACGGGGGGGGGGGAGGGGTACGTAAACAGTACAAGAAGGAAATAAAGGGTACAATAAGCGAAATTGTTTGGACAACACTGTCATAGAGGATACAAGTGTTCCCATCCGCAATTAAGCCATTGTCACAAAGCCCAATGCTTTTTATTATTCCAGTGTAAAATTTTGTCTTTAGATGGAGATAGCAGATGTTTATCTTTGATTTACTCCTAGCGACAAAAAGAAAAAAAATCAAAGGAAAAAGAAAAAAGAGAGAAAGAATATATACGATATATGTATATGCATATATATGTGTGTGTGTGTGTAATACATTTATATACAAATATATATATTTACATACATAGACACACATACACACATCTGTAAGAGCCCAAATGCTGGGCCCTTACAAGAGTTGGTAGATGGCGATTTAGGGTTTAAAGGTAGACAACCAGTGTCTTTTCATTATTTGAATAGAATGTTGGAGTGCGCTGCTCCTCGGAGCGAGTGTGTTGATCCTTGGCTCCCCGCAGGGAGTCTGCCCTCATCTCCTATACACTGGTCTAAGGATCGCTCTAAGTCACGTTGTTAACATGTGACAACCGGTGATGAACAAGGAAGCGTTACACCAATGCATAGTTTTTGTGGGAGAGATAGACAACATAACATTGGAATGTCTGGTGTAGCAAGAGAGGAATGAAAAAACAGTGGAGCAATGGTCAGGCGTATAGGCAAAGATATGTAATATGTATGTGTGAAAGATATATGTGAAAAACATGTAAGATTATATAAATATGTAGAACTATAGTAATAGATATAGATATAACTGGAGGTTAAACACACACATCACACATACACACACACATTACCACACACACACACACACATACATCATGCATACATACATACATACATACATATGCATACATACGTACATATATATATATATATATACATATATATGGATATATATATATATATATATATTATATATGATAATGTGTGTGGTGTGTGTGTGTGTGTGTGTGGTGTGTGTGTGTGTGTGGTGTTTGTGTGTGTGTGTGTGTGAGCTGGGTGTGGTGTTGTGTGTGTGTGTTATGTACATAACACTCCCTCCACACACACGCACACACGTATATTTGTATGATTTCATTTTTCATTCTTTTCCTTCATTACTACGTGCTTATTCTTTTTCCTCGATATGCTAAACGATGTAATAATTCACTAATACTGGATACAGGAAAACGAATTACACAATATACTTTTTATAATGAGCAAACACAACCCGTCTTTTAGACATCAGTCACATCTTCCAGAAATACATTTGAAGACATCAGTCACATCTTCATAATGAAGAGCTATTGAACGCAAGCATAAACAAGTGATATCTGTTACCGAGAGTGTGATTCAAAACGATACACTCTGCTTATCTACGTGCACGTTAAAGACGAACATGACGTTCCTGCATTATATTGACGTCGTAAGTATATAAATTCGTGAGCGAATAATTTAAAGAATGTGTGAGTTGTGTTTGCATGCTATCTCTCTCAGGTTTATATATAATATATATATAATATATATATATATACCCTATATATATAATTATACATATATACTATAATATATAATATATTATATTAGAGAGAGACAGAAGGGAAGATTGTGACCACGGGTATGGTGCAAGGCGAATGAGAAATATAAAATTGACGGTAGATGAAAGGGAAAAGGATGGAGTTAGACGCGTAATAGGTGATGCAATGAGGAGGGGAGACGAATGGATAGAGATTAGTGTGAGAACGGAGACGAAAGAGATGTTGAGGAGTGAGTGAGAAGACGGAGGACGATACTGATGGGATAATTGATATATGTGGTGCTCCTAGATGTCGTGGTGATTTGCCAGGTGGCCCGCTTGTGTAACTAAGAATTGGACACATGCAAGTATGCGTATTAGTCTCTTATTCCCGGTTACCTGTATGTTACTAGTATAATCATTAATGCATATGATGTTTAAATATGCTATATGTGTGCCTATGCGTTGATGTGAACGATCGCACAATGATCATCTCAGCTGATAACGATGCATCACAGACACTCCACGAGAACGGTTCTGTGTGTGTGTGATTCAACCCCTGCGTTGGCAGCACCTGCAACTGTGAAGGAAGAAGACAAAGCAGAGACCAACGCAGGACACAAACATCATAATCATGCCTGATAATGTAACTCGGTGTTCGTTACTAATTCCAATGCACCTGCGCTCTAACTACTCTCATATCGTACTCTCGATAAAAACTTCTATTGCATAATAGCTATATAATAATATTCACTAAGATAGGTTCGATGTTGATATATAATAATGCATAAATATACTAAGTATTTATATGTTATATATGTATGTATGCTATATTAAATGGATGCATTGGAAGTTCGATACCATATACAATAATATAATTGTGATAGTATCAGCAGAAGCTATACATTTAATACTAGCTGAACTAATTGAGTAAGCACTCTATATGCTAATTAAGGGAGTTTAGGTGATATAGTATAATATGCTATATATATATATTATTGAATAATATACTGGGTGAGGAAGATGCTATTTCGACCCAGAAAGACACAAGCCTGCACTGGGAATACAACTGGAATAGAAATTGATAAATAAATGGGTTGTCGATGGTTTATACATCATATATAGAGATGTTACATACTATATATCATGATAATTATATATATATATATAAGTATAATAATAATATAATATATAATAGTATATATATATATAATTAATATTATATATATTATATATATACTGATTTAATATATATTAGTTAGTATGTTGTTGATTGTGGTCGTGTATGTAGTGGATGAGAGTGAGAGTAGACTGGAGAGAGAGAGTAGATTGAGGAGAGTGAGAGAGATAGAAAATAATAAAGTACACAATAATTACACTTATACTCAGCGCGAGAGAACCAGATCGTCACAAGCGCGAATAACGAGAAAGTACCGAGAGCGTTCACGACGAACTGATTACGATAATTACTCGTTTCGATCACGTTCTCAAAATAATCTAGAAAATAAATAACTACATCCGAAGTGTACCCTCGAGTACAAAATACCCAAACATTGGAATATTACTTCAACTCTTTCAATCGATTAGATCAAAAATCTCTTATATAATTCAAAACTAGTTATTTACCAATCCAAGGAAATACACTGCGAAAGGGAGAAAAGACGAAGATAAGGAGGAGACGTCAGACTAATATCGACACACACGAAGAGTCACTATACGCGACACACACACCACACACACCGGCCAGAGCAAGACTGTAACACACGAGCGGCCATGGCCGAGGCACATGCGAAGAGCGACGCCACCCCAAGAACCTTACACCCACAATACCTCCAACAACGAAGATTCCCACACGCACCATCACAGGATCCAAGATTCGGCGAAGCCTTTCAACTATCACACACACCTCACGACGACACGCACACAATCCACTCGGCACACTAACAAGGCATACGACGAGCAGGAGAGACGAGCTGAAGGAACGGAGAACAGAGCCTTCAGGAGCGACGACGTGTATGTGAGGTCAATGTGATTATAAGGGACGGGGACACCGGCGGTCCTGTACGAGGGGCTAGAGAACCCGTGAGTCTATGTCCTTTTCTTCTCTCTCCTCTCTCCTCTTTCATTCTCTCTTTTATATCCCCCTTTTCACCTCCTCTGCTTCGAGGCGAAGGGCCATATGTCTCGGATTTTGGTATTTGGAATTGCTGCATTTATTCTCTCTCCTCTGTCTCCATTTCTCCCCCTTTCTTTTCTTACTCTGCTCTCCCTTTGTCACTTTTCTCCTCTCTTTGTATTTGAAGTGGGAGGGACTGTGAGACACACACTTAGGTCTCTCGTCCTGCTCTATCTAATGTATGGGCCTGATTGGAAACTTTGTACTGTACAGCGGAGATCTATGCCACGCGGTGGTGTCAGCCATGCAGATGCGAATACAAAATCTAGCTGGAAACTTTGCAAAGTGCTCAGCGGAGTTGTTTAGAAGCAGAAATTGCGCAGCTACATGTACAGATTGATATAAAAATGCGCAGCTGAGTAAGAGTTACTGGTTTTGTTGGTCCAGTCAGCCAGTCATTAGCTTCAACTTTAGGAATTCCTAGTTTGCGCTTGTGCGTTTAAGCCTCCAATTTCTAAATGGTGCGGCTGAGAGATTTGTCCAAATGGCACGGCCAGAACAAATATAATAAACCAGTACACCGATATCTTCCAGATGCACATTTTTAAGAAAAATATTTGTCCTCAGCTGTGCAGTTTGCAAACTTTCTAGTCTGGTGTTGGGGCAAATTGGAATCAGGTTGGTCACTTGGGATCAGATGAAAATGCATGAGGAAGGCTGGTAAACTGCACTAAAAGAGCTGGTGATTCCCTAGAACAATACTGCTTTGAGGGATCTCAATGGCCACTGGATGATTTTCCAAATTAGGTCTGTACCTGAAAGCCCATTGTATTTTGTATCTCTGACTTCCAGATGATGTCCGCTGTGCATTTGTGGATTAAGGCCTTATCACACTAGCACTTTTTCCGTCTGAATTTGAGGCTTTCAGCAAGTATTGTTTGCAAATGGAACACCTAGACGAAGATGATGTCAAAGTAAACATTGGAGCCGGAGGCGGGGGGGTCAGAGATTTAGTCATAACTCTTTTATTTTTATGTATTTAGCAGAAATATTACATCACGGGATTGCCAAAGCCTACTAGATTACAGATTTTTTTCAAATTTTCGAGTATCTTTAAAAATATTAGTTGAAAAATTCATTGCGACGGCCCCCTTGAAATGATGTGATATACATGAGAATGTTTGTATAATTCCCGGGACCTCACTCTGATACCGTCATGTGTGCTTACATGGGCAGTGTTATCTGCCTTGGTAGTGTGATAGGGTCAGTCCATTACTGTGCAAAAATTGAATTCAGAAATGCAAAAATCACCAGAAAAAGTGCTAGTGTGATAAGGGCCTTTAGTTGGGGCTTCGCAACAGAAGCAGTGGTATATATTTGACTTGATAGTTAGTTAGGATGTTCATTAAATATGTATGTTTAGGTATGGCTTTGTGAGGTAAACATCATTCAGTCCAGAGAGGTATTGTTTTGGAAGTTTTTGTTTTCAGCCATTGTATTTCATTGCTGTTGTTTGCCTGGTTCTGTTTAGTTTTCAATAGGTGTCCATTGGTACTAGATTTAAAAGTTTTGGAGATGTAAACCTATTCTACAAATCTATTGGCCTCTACTCTTTGTACTTGGGGAAAAAAGGTAGTAAAGTTCCACCAGACCAAAATATAACAGACCAGTATATATTTGAGCCAGATTGGGATTAGATTTTTCTTTTTGTGACAATAGATCTCCAGGGAGACCTGAATATATGGGGTGAAGGTTCATTAGTCATATCTGCAATGATCTCATGACACACAGAGGGTATATATCCTTTCTAATCTTTGTCTGTGCTGTTATCCGTCCTTTGCATTTGAATGATTTGTGTGGAAGCTAATCATTGTATCGTTTCCATAACTGGGCATTATTTTTCAATTTTTGGTAGCTATGTGGTCCTATTCTAGACAGTTATCATACGTTGCTTTACAAAGACGAACACTTTTTTTATGGATAGGTTCCTTGTAGTGAGCACTGACATTTATAGTATTTTTGATTTGTGCTGATAGACACTTTGACTGATATTGCTAGTATTAAGAGTGGCCGTTATGCCTGTTGGTGCTCCAGCAAAGGACAACATAATTTGCTGGCCATTTTTGAAGTGCTGTCAAAAATAGTCTGTGGTCTTGGCTTTACACTGTGCACTCTTATTACAGGTTGTCATAGAGCCTTGATACTATGATAATGACACCTTTGTCATACTATACACTGATTTTGGTTTATTTGCAAATGCTTAAAGATTGGGGTATCATGTGAACCCAAAAATCCAAACCTAATCTTTCCTACTTTCTATTTATTCCCTAGACAGAGGGGGCAAGCCTCCCTATTCCCCACCTTTATTAGCACTTTGTGTCAGCGTTTAGAAAAACTACATTAAGAACTGACTGTGGAACAGTGGTGTGGACTTACTCTCTTATCAGGCATATGCAGTGGATATTTTCATAATTTCACAGTAAATATGAGACTGCAATAATTGTGCCTGTGTTGTTTATGGCTTTATCTATGTGTGTCATGTTTGGCAACATTAACCATGGGCTAAGCCTGGTGTTACATGGCAAGAATGGATGCCACCTGATGTGAACTCCCAGTTGAATATTTAATTATATTGGCATGATTTATCATTTTTTTATATTGCTTATCCTAGCAATGTTCCTGGTATATTCCATTCACTCCCATCAGTTGGTTGATCGACTGTAGTTCATTAAACTGTATCATAAGCAGCACATTGGTACCTTTGATATGACTAATGCCATGTTTTTGATGAGATTTACCCAAAAGTATTGAATGTGGGAGCAACTACAAGGTGAAAAGTCTAAGAATCTTGCACAGTGAAATTGTACAGAATAGATGCCATGGCCTTCTTACCTCTGCTCTGGCCTCTGTAATTCCTGCTTCACGAAAAAGCGACAGATCTCTAGAATATAGTTTTGATTAATTAAATTGTATTGGGGGGGAAAAAAGCAAAGGAAAAGTAAGACATTTAGAGGTTTTTGGAAACTCCTGTGTCATCAGGCTAGAAAAGGGAGAGTCAGTTTACTTCAGTATAGTTAAATTTTAGTGCATGACAGCTGTCATCAACTAAGTGCTGGGAAATGATAGATTGAGGAATTTTATGACACTTCATGTATGACATATCCAATAACAGATTATAAATATGTAGGATGCTGTCAAGTGATTGCTGTAGTCTCCTCACTTTCATTAAAGGTATGTGGGAGGTTCTCAACAGAACACAGTGGAAATTGGAACAATTAGATATATGATATCTTTTACAAAAGGGACTTGTATTTGTATCAAATCATAGAAAGAACAGTATTTCAGACGACTGATACTTGAATCGTGTGCGAGGGTGAATAGGATTGGTGAAAAGAATGTAGTGAAATTTAGTGAAATTAGAATGTAAAAATTACGGCAAATGTTTCAAGGGCACCCATCCATCTCTGAACTCATGCCGATTGGTGCTGCCTCTATGCCTTCCAGTGTTTCAGCAAAGGCCAAAAAACTTCCTGCCACTGGCAAGTTGGAGCTGGAACATAAACCTTCCTGGTAATACATTGCTCTTATTTTTTTGCCAGAACAGAAAAGGAGGCGTTGTCTTTCACAGAGGCCATGGTTGTTTGTCATTGTGGGTTGTTAGGTAGGTGGGTGGGTGGGTAAATGAGTGTGAGTGTGTCTGTTGTGTGTTGTGTGTTAGTAGTGTGAGTGTGTGTGTGTGTGTGTGTATGTGTGTTGTGTGTGTGTGAGTGTGAGTGAGTGAGTGTGAGTGAGTGAGTGTTGAGTGTGTGAGTGAGTGAGTGTGTGAGTGTGTGAGTGTGTGTAGTGTGTGTGAGTGTGTGTGTGTGTGTGTGTGTGTGTGTGTGTGTGTGTGTGTGTGTGTGTGTGTGTGTGTGTGTGTGTGTGCGTGAGTGTGTGTGAGTGTGTGTGTGTGTGTGAGTGGTGTGTTGCGTGTGTGTGTGTGTGTGTGTGTGTGTGTGTGTGTGTGTGTGTGTGTGTGTGTGTGTGTGCGTGCTTTGTGTAGCAGATCTACCTTTTAACCAAACTACCTGTGGAATTATTGCAGATTTTAGTGTCTCAATCTATCACTTGTCATATTCACTACAAGGAAGATGTTATCGGATTGGAAAGTTACCAGAAGAAGGATCAGTTTAATTTTTTTTTCTGGTCTGGGTCTCCTGTGTGTCTGTTGTTATTCTGTTCTGTTGTCTTCCTTTTATTCCTTTTATCATTTGTTATTGTTTTTCCAGCTTTCTTCCTTACTTGGATTTGGTCAAATGCATGACAGGAGACTTTAAATCCAAATATATACACTTAAATTTTTTTACTTTTTTTTTTTTTTTCTAGTATAGTATCTGTTTGTATTGTAGGTTTGTATCCCCTTGCAGCTGGATGACCGCTGTACATGTGGAGGGGATTTTGACGCTGCCATCTATCAAAAGCGGACAGCCCTGTACTGCTAGATGGGAATGTCAGAATTGTCATAACTTGTATTTTGGTTAACTGGCGGAAAAGGGGATGTAGATAATTTTAGTTATTATTAGAGTGTGATTTTCTCTCTTTCTCTTTCCCTCTCCTCTCTCGAGAAAGTGACAAATGTTACCTCACCAGATTCACAATGCTGCTTCCTGTGCCTCCCTCCCCTACTAATATGATGTGGGTCCCCCCAGTGGGAATTCCTCCAGGGCTGCAGGAAGTGATGCGTTGCTTGAATTATTGCCTCTTCCAGTTGCAGGGCAGGTACGAAGAGGGTGTCCTGCGGGGAAGGCGCGTTGGGGTCACAGATGCTCCCAACCTTGACTCTCTGGTTTTCGATGTTAGTATGGCTTTCTCTTGGATTTTGCCGACTTGGCTGCCGGCCTGTGCTGATTGCGTCCCCCTCTGCTAGACTGCCGTTCCTGTAGACAGTGATATGCGTCTTTATTTATATATTTTTTTCCTTTCCTTTCCTTTTCCTGCTCTAAACATTATTAATTATTATTATTATTTTTAATAATTTTAATATTCTAAGTATTTCTTGTACCATATATATATATATTTTAACTTTTTTGCTCTTTGCTGAGGCTCAAGTAGCATGTTTCTTTATCCAGCAGAACCTAGCTTCTCGTATGCATATTGTTATTTTAGGTATTTTTCAGCAATATTTTCCGAGATGTATCCATCATGGTGGAATCTGATGTTGTGACTTGTAAGCATTTTTATTTTACCGAGTTTTGTTATGAGAAATTGTTCCAAAGGAAAAATATGGGCATTTTTTTTGTTTTTTATTTTTGCTTGTGAAATATGTTGACAAAAGTAACTAAGGCCGGTTTGTGTTCAGGATCTGTATGGTTGCCTGTTGAAATTGACGATTGCAGTTGCCATTGGTTGTGTAAAATTTTTTATTTCATGTATTGCAAGAGTTCTTATATTTCAAGCTGTTGTATTTATGTAGTAAATGCTAGGTGAGATGAAAGTCCAATGCCGAGAGAGTTGACATATTGGTCATGAAGAAATTTGTTTTTATTGTATGCATATTACTATATTGCCTTTCTGCTTTGTCTAAGTGCTTTCGTAAAAAGATAAATGCCCGCATCTGTCTTGATATTTTCCCACAAATGACTGCATTTTTGCACGTTTGCTTTCCCTGGTTTTGCAACTTGCATTTAGTGTAAAAATGTTTCATTTTGAATATGGCTATATGCAAGTATATCAAAGGTTACCCCCATCTTTTAGAGAAAGGTATTGATGAAGGTAAATATTTTTTGGAACAAGTTGTGCTTTTTATCGTCCTTATATGAAGTAAGCATATGTAGCATTGAAATGATCTTCCTGCTTAAGGTTATTCGCTGTTATTCATGCTCCTCTCAGCTTCTATATCAAATGCCTTTCACTTTTTTTGTGTTGTGTCATCATTTCACTGAAAAAGAAAGAAAAAAAAGACTAGATGCTATTTGCGTAATAGTTAATGGCGATGCTTTGTCTTGTAGGTAAGACCGGAGAAAAAATATGAGAATAGAAGTGGCGGTGGCTTTGTCTCGGGAGTCTATGAGGTAAGGACATTGACAGTAATAGTTAAAGAATTTGTCAATAGATAAATAAAATTGATTCCAATTCTTTATCTTTGTGGTGAAATGTGCAGAGTTTTTTTTTACCTTCTCTTCTTTCAAGTATTGCCTGCTTTGCCTTCTTTTTCTAAGGGAAAACGTTCTTAGGAAAAAAATTAATGAATGATTTCTCATACAGAATGAAAATCAAAATTTTCTAGAGTTATTCAGTATTGTTCTTTGTTCATTGCTTACTTGGTTACTTGGTGTGAGTTTAAGCTAGAGCCCCATAAGTGTCTTGTTGAATGAAGATTCCAGCACTTTAATTGACACCATCGTGTTCTCCCATCAAACTTGATGTTATTTTCCTGCGTCTCTAAAGGTTATTTTACTTTATATCTTCTCTAAGGTCAGTAGCAAGACTCTGTTAGAGAGGGCAAGACGGTTCGGTGTGACAGACCCACCCAAAGCAGCTCCTACGCCAGAAGCTATCAAGAAACTGTACAAGAGGTAATATTCTGTGATTCTG